TGTTTCCCCTCAGATGTCCTTTCCATTGTGCACGAACCCCTTTGCCCTTGTTGTTGCAATTGCCGTCCTGCCTTGTTAGTGGTGACAGTGTGCTCTGAGTGCTCTGTTGCAGCTTTGTTGTTGAGATCCTTCAGTAATGATGTAGCAGTGAGTATGAGGGTTTTTGCCACCAGCCCCCAGTCAACCTCTTCCATTGTACAAAACTGGTTGACCGCTTGCTTGACATCCTGTTTGGCCAGCACTATTCTTCGAATTCTTTCCCATTGCAGAGGAGAGACGATCTCGCTCAGGGATCGTCCCCCGGGGGCCAGCGCGTTTTGTAAAATCCAGTCCGTCAATTCCTTTAGATGGGTCCGCACCTTCTTGTCCCTTATCAGTGGTTTGTGTTGGGGAGCTGTTTCCATTTCATGGTCCATGGACGGATGGACCCCAGCCTCCCTGTCTGCCCAGTGGGTGGATTGGGGGCCAATTGCTTGGGCATTCAGCGGTACCCCCTGGGGTGTTGGCTCCATTTCTTGGTCCATGTTTGGGTGTATGCCTTCTAAAGGGTAAGAAGATTATGAACTGTGATGTGCCTGCACCGGGGACATCTCGTGGTCCATCTTCGGGTGGACTCCTCCTTGATGGTCAGGCGGCCAGCTATCGGCGGACATAATGTTTCCACCGTGGTCTTGTGATGTGGGGTGGCCTTGTGGTTGGGTGCGTGAACGGCCGTGGTATGGCGAGAGTCAGTTTTGTTGGTGTGCCAACATATCGTATGTATGGTAGTTCTGCTTTTGTGTCTGCCAATACTGTTTTTCCTGTGTTAGCTGTTGGCTGTCCTGCGAGTCGATCAGACCGAGGACCGCCTTCTGCGCCTGGATGTTGTGTTGGAGCAGAAGGAGGTGCTGGAGCTTGAATCCGTGGTCGTCCGGCTCTTCACCTAAGGCCTGTGGTGCCACTGTCAGTGGGGTCAGCATTTCCTAAGCTCCAAGTCTGTCCTGCGTGCATTATTGGAGCTGTGTGTGCTTCATTTGTTGCACCGCTAGATGGTGGAACAACAATTGCTGTTCCCGTGTGAGGGCTGCCTCCCCCTGCCAGTCTCCCCTGTCCATCTCTGAGTCCAGATCTGTGTCCGATTCTGACGTAACGCCATGGATATGAACGTCCATCTGGGGAAGGATTGTCTGCTTATCTTTCCTTGATTTGATTGCTTCTTGTAGTTCGGCTTCAGCTTGGTCATGCTTTTCCATTAACTGCCTATATCGCGATGTGTAGCGCGGTGTGTCTCCTGCCCAACCGTCAGTGTTCGTAGTCACGTTTGTAGGAGGTTCCCCCTGACGGCAATCATTCTCATCTTCTGCCTGTTGCTGTTGCGGGACCGGGTGTTGTGTATCATTTTGCAGGAGGGCATGTGGCGGGGGTCGGGCTCCCATGGCCTGTGTGGCGGTCTGTTGTCCGTTAGTTTGAGATTGCATCAGGTTCGTAGACTGCAGAGGCATTCCCAGTATGGTGTGAGAGGCTTCAAGTTGGCGCCGATGGGCCCCCAGGTTGGTCCCCAAGTTAGCCGCCTGGTTTCTGCAGGGAACAGGCTTTTAATCCCCTTTGCGACATTGTGGAGATACTCAAAGCGGATGAGTTTGTTCATTCCCATCAGTTGAGGTCTGCAGTGTTTGAAATGGTGGGTAGCCTTTGGGTGTGTATTACCTGAGGAGGATGGCGAGGTCTTACCAGAAGGGGTCCGTTGAAGGGTTCGATCCTGATTCAGGATCTCTTGTATCGCGGTCGTCTCCTCCAAATAGTTTGTGTGTTGTGAGGGGGAAGGGGGTACCGGTAGGTGCAGTAGTTGTTTTTCCTTCCGGAGCCAATCTCCCTTGGCCGTGTGTTGTAGCACCCCGGGGTGGGAGGTGTGGTCCTCGACCTGCTCCTGTATGGCGGTTGGGGGGGAGGTCACCACCAGTGTGGCCTCCTAGGTAGCTAACATTCCCTCTCCCTTCCGGGGGACGTCTGTAATGGCCGTAGTATGCAGCGTAGTATGCAGCGTCCCTGCTTGGGCTGCCTGCGGGCCGTTTTGTCCCTGGCCGTCTGGTTGCTTGACACCCAGGCGGTTGTCGTGCTATGCCCGTCCCGGTGCCAGGGGGGGGAGTTCCCGTGTGGACATGCGCTGCAATCGCACAGGCTGAACAGTAAGCTGCGTGTGTTGTTCCTTTATGATTACTACCGGTGCCCCGGGTTGGCTATCCATGCCGTTCCGGCCTCCTGGTGGTATGGTTACTACTATTGCAGTTTCCTGTTCGTCACCCGATGTCATGTATTGGTCCCCCCGACTTGTATGTGTAAATATCATGTCTCTCCTGCAAGCTCCCTGCTAGTGAGCCAATCACCACCACGTCCTTGTGGTCGGTGCTGCCCGATTGTTCTTCGGCACCCGAGGACAGTATTTCTCCCCCTGACTTGTCTGTGTAACTATCATGTCCCTCCTGCAAGCGTCCTGGTGGTGACCCACGGCCATGTGGTCAGTGCTGTCCGATTGTTCGGCCCCCGGGTGGTCGTCTTGCAGTGCTCTTCCTGGTGCCAAGGGGAGGGGATGTCGCATGGGCGTGTGGTGCTGCAACACAGGTTGCGCAGCATACTGCGTGTGTTGTTGTTGTATTATACTTACTGTCGGTTTCCCGGGTTGGCCGACCAGGTCGTCATGGTTGGACTGTTCATGTAGGCCTTCTATTGGTAAGGCCACTACTTTTGCGGTTTCGTGGTCAGCATCCGAGGGCAGTGCTCTTCCCTTTGGTTTGTCCCTGTCGGTATCGTGTTGCTCCTGCCGGCTCCCCACTACAGTCTTGTGGTTGGTGCCCAGCTCCCCTTCGGCTTGACAATCTTGACTGGCTTGACTGGCTGAGGGTTGCAGCAACCCTGGGTTGGCGCACTGTTGCACATATTGTTCTTGTGTATCCGCTGTCGGAAGGGCAACTACTATGATATGCCCGTGGTCGAACCCAGTCCCATCCTATGTTGCACGCCCGGTCGCGGCCGAGGGGTCCGAGTCGGCCGCGGCCTAGGCCGATGACCGAATCGGCCCGGTTCGGCTTAGGCCGACCTGCCGAGTTCGGTGCAGTATTTTTTTTTCCAATTTTTTAAGTGTAATATATATATATATATATATAGTTTGTCACAGCCCCTCGTTTGTTGTCCTCTTCTCCCTCTCTGCCTACGGTTTACCGGGCAGTTCTATTTGACGATATATACTACGACTTCGCTAGCTTCCTGCTACGGTTTTCTCCGGTCAGGTCGAGCGGCAGTGGTCGGGGCCGTCACTACGCGGCCATGCTGTGCCTCTAGTGCCAGCGGTGTGTCTGGAGTGTATTTTTTGGCTGTGACAGACCTTTCTTTGTTTCGTGGGTGTTTTGCTGGCTTGTGATGGGGTGTGAACCGACAGTCTGTAGAGTTTTCCATCTGGTGTGGGTGAGTGATAGTCTACTTTGATTTTGGTTAAGGTGGATTATCACTTACAGTGTAATCAGTGAGGGGATTCTACAGACTGTTGAGGGTTCAGCCTCCTGATGAGTCGGTGAAACTCCGACGAAACAGTTTGTCACAGCCCCTCGTTTGTTGTCCTCTTCTCCCTCTCTGCCTACGGTTTACCGGGCAGTTCTATTTGACGATATATATATGTAGGGCTGGAAAAGCCCTACACGCCCATTTTTTTTTTTTGGGTGTCCGACCTTCAGAGAGGCGCAGGAAAAAAAAAAAAAAAAAAAGAGGCCCGGTGGGCAATTTTGGCCCTGTATTGGTGCCAGCGAGTGAGGGGCACCGTGTGGGCAGTGGGCAGTGAGGGGAGGGCGGTGGGTCCAGGCCCAGGCCATGGCAAAACTGTTGCCGTCTCAGATAAATGCTGCCATTTATCTGAAACGACAACAGTTGTTGCTGTTGCCGTTATGCTGCCGAAATGCCTCCTCACCACTCAGACAGAGAGAGAGAGAGAGAGAGAGAGAGAGAGAGAGAGAGAGAGAGAGAGAGAGAGAGAGAGAGGGACTCTAGAGAGAGAGAGAGAGACAGACTCTAGAGAGAGAGAGAGAGAGAGACTCTAGAGAGAGAGAGAGAGAGAGAGAGAGAGAGAGAGAGAGACTCTAGAGAGAGAGAGAGTCTAGAGAGAGAGAGAGAGAGAGAGAGAGAGAGAGAGAGAGAGAGACTCTTGAGAGAGAGGGAGAGAGAGAGAGAGAAAGAGAGAGAGAGAGAGAGAGAGAGAGAGAGAGAGAGAGAGATCTTCTTCTTCTTCTTCTTCTTCTTCTTCTTCTTCTTCTTCTTCCTGCGCACCCTGCAGCGGCGCACGCCGCGCAAGCACGCGGGATAGCGGCCCCGCGCTGCCCTGCGGCCGCCGCACGGCCGTCGCCATCGCCGCGCGCGTCTTTTTCAAGCGCGCGGCGTTTTTAGTGCCCGGTCGCGATCGAACACAGCCGAACGCGGCCGATCGAGGCCGATCACGGCCGACGGCGGCCGGGCAGAGCTGCCCGCCTCGGAGGACCTGTTGAGGGCGGCCGGCCGGGGTGCTGGTGGACCGTGGCCTGGCGCGACATCGAGGGGACACGGCGGCAGGAGTGGCGGGGGCGTCAGGGTGCAGCGACATCGAGGGTACGCTACATCGACGGTCAGACGACAACGAAGATCGAGGTCACGACTTGTTGGATCCTGGTGGGGGGGCGATGACGGGGGGTGCAGGGAGCAGCGGTGTGGGGGGGTGTGGGGTTGCCCAATTCAACCCGCTGTCCGAGAACGAGATGGCGAAGTTGAGGCGAGGGAACATTGTTTGGAACTACGTCACCGCAGGCCAGTACGTCGGGGACCAGTCAAAGATGCACGGGGACCGAAAGTTGCGTTGCAACTTATGCGGCCACCTGTTTCAGGGGGGGTCGTCGAAGGCCGCGCGTCATTTTACGCAGTCGAAGTTCTGCAAGGCTGGGGGGATGAGAGTTCTCGCGAAACTCTGGAACGACACGGACTACACATTTGTGCCGTCCACTGCTCAGCGGGTGCAAAGGTGGATGGCAAACGAGGGCATACGAGACACAAGAGCGCCCGCGGGTGGCCAGAGATAGTGTATGGACGACGCAGAGAGGGACGACATTCAGGATGCCCTCGATGAGGAGGGCCGCGAGGGTGGGGCCAGGGAGGGGGCGGTTGCAGACGAGGCAGACGAGGCAGTCAGAGAGCCTAACCTGCTAGGGGAGGAGGTGGTGATGACGTCGAGAGGCGTCGGTGGAGCGGGTCCTACTACTAGGGCGCAGCGAGGTGAGGTGGATCGCGCGAGGAGGGAGAAGAGGACAGTGGGGCAGGCTGGCGTCGAGGTGCCAGACACGGGCAGGGAGAAGAGGGCTCGGCAGACCACGATTGTCGAGATGTACGCCAGGGAGAAGTTGGCTGAGTTCCATGATGCGTGGCTTCAGTGGATCTACGTGAAGAAGTTGCCATTCAATGCGTTCCGTGGTCCGGAGTTCCAGAGGGTGTGGCAGGCAGCAGAGAGAGTGCCTCACTCTATCCAGTTCTGGTTTCCCTCCTTAAGGGTTACAGCGGGGGCCGGTATCCCTTCGCAGAGGGCGAAGGTGGCGACGATGGTAAGCGAGGTGCGCGCCACTTTCTGGCACAGCGGTGCCACTATCCTTTCTGACGGGAGGAAGTCGCGCAGCGGCAAGCCGCTCGTGAACTTCCTGGCCGGGCCATCATCGCCACCGTCGCACGTGATGGGTAGGTTCGAGACACAGCGGACGTCGTGTACCGTAGGTGGCGTTCCATCATCTTGTCCTTTCTTGCAAAGGACGTGATCGGCTTTTGCACAAACTCCGCCAGTAACTGTACGGAGGCAGAGCGCAGGTTCGCCACAGACCCCGAGCCTGACATCAGGAGGATCACTTGGCTCCCCTGCTCCACCCATCTGCAACTTGATGTTGTCAGATATCGGGACGCGAGTGGTGTGGGTCAAGGAGACCGTCATCCGCGCTCGAGCGCTTGTGCGATTTTTTAAATCGCACGGTGCTGCTCACGCCCTGTTTAGGAAGGTGAGTCCTCACGTTCAGCTCGTCGAGCCCGTTGAGACACGGTTTGCATCGGTTTTTCTGATGCTGACGTGTTTCAAAGGCCGACGAGACGCGTTGGAGAGCACGTTGGAGAGCACGTTGCACGGGGATGCTTGGGCACACATCCCATGGGATCGCGCCCACGTATCTCAGGCACAGTGGGTGCAGCAGTAGATCCGGGATGGGGAGTTTTGGCAGCGTGTCCATTACGCCATCCTAGTCATGTCGCCCGTCCACCAGCTGTTGTGCAGGATGGATAGAGGTGGGATGATGATGTCCATCGTTTACGAGTGGAGTCAGCATTTGCTGCAGTTGATGAGGAGGGTCGACGTGCCGACGGACATGATCGAGCCATGTGTGCGTGAGGTTGCCATCCGCAACCTCCACATGCTAGAGCCTGCACATGCCGCGGCCCACCTCCTCAACCCTCGCCGACGGTCCCTCACGTATTACCATTCGCTGCAGACGACCGCCGACGACCGCCTTGTGGTCGAGGAGTGCGACAGATTTCTCTTGGCGCAGATCGGCGGCGATCCGGTCGGGTTTTGTACAGGACCGTGAGGGACCAGATGAGGGCGTTCCACTCGAGGCGAGGGGATTGGGGAGATCGTGAGCTCTCCGATGCCGAGGCGGCAGATTGCAGGGGGGACAGCGAGACCGAGCGATGTGTAGCGTGGTGGTTCGAGCATGGACGTGCTCACCCGGAGTTGCGCACCATCGCCATCCGTGTCATGCACTTGTGGACGTCTGCCTCTCCAGCGGAGAGGAACTGGGCGGAGCACGAGCGCGTCAGCACGGCGAGGCGCTGCAAGCTTGGGTTCGCCAAGCTTGCACAACTGGTTGAGATTGCCACCAATCTCAAACTGGCCTCGTGCGCACGGCAGGGTGGTGGCTACGTGTTGCCATGGGTTATGGGGAGCGGTCGGGGAGGGACGGTGGCAGAGGAGGAGGATGAGGAGGGAGATGTGGAGCCCGAGGTGTGGGGAGCGCGACCTGATGGCAGTGTTCCCGAGCAGGAGATCCAACGGCAGATTGTCGCTTTCCGTGACAGCCGACCGTCCAGAGCCCGTTCGGTTCGGGACGTGTTCGACAGCAGAGCGACGGAGCTGTGACCGTGGCCAGAGGGTGGGGATGATGTGGACGTTGCTGCAGCAGACGACGACATCGACGACGACTGGACTGACGATGATGACACGCCACTGAGTCGCGACCCGACGGCTAAGCGAGTGTACTTCACTTACGGTGGGGGTCGTGACGGCACAGATTCATTCACATCAGTTATCACTGGTGCTGTGCCGTCGACCGCGCCGACGAGTGGCAGCAGCAGAGCCGGCGGTGGTCATGGAGGACGTTCGCATGCGGAGGTTCGCGTGGACGACTCGGGGGAGCAGCAGCCACGGGGAGGTCTTCGGCAGACAGGCAGGCGTTGGGAGGTTAGGAGCGACAGTGAGGTAGAGGGGGAGGCCGAGGATGAGGAGGTGCCCCTTCGCGATCGTCGCTTCTCTCCCTCCCATCATCCGATCTCTGCACAGCCCGAGGGGGAGCCACTTAGGCGTTTGGAGAGGTTGGCGTCGGCAGCAGGCAGAGACCGGACACATGACGACGAGGATCGTGGGGGGGAGAGGACTCCTTCCGACACCGGTATCCGCCCCCGCTCGCCGTCGGTGCTCCGCACACAGGACTTTGAGGACGTAGGGCTTGGTGGGAGCTTGGGAGGTTTTAGTGTCGAGGGACGTCGACGTGCCTCACCGCAGGATGTGCGCACAGACGTGGACGTTGAGCGAGGCCGTGTTGAGACTGAGGAGGAGAGGGATGCCCGTTTGGACCGAGAGGAGGAGGTGCGGCTGAGGAGTTTGCCACAGTGGGAGGGTCGGTTCGCGTATCTCGACGAGCAGCGTCAGCAGAGGGACTTGGAGACAGGAGGGGAGGGGAGCTGTTGCGTCGACGACTCGGGTGTCCCTGAGGAGGCAGTTCAGGGGGAGTTCGATTATGAGGGGCAGGATGCCGCCGCGGCTGTCCCTGAGGGGCATGATGTTGTCATGGGCGGTGGGTTCCCTAGTGGGGGCCGTGGCGACAGCGAGACCGCGGGTGATGAGGAACAGGGTGCCGCAGTGTGCGGCAGAGGAGAGGGTGTACCCGGTGTTGATGGGGATACCGCGGGTGTCGGTGGAGACGATGGCCCGAACGGCGACGATGATGACGACCACGGTCCGGAGGACGATCCATATAGGCTCGCCTTGGTGTTGAGGGACCCCACAGTGCCTCCCATGCGCCCTGATGGCACAGCGCACACTGTCTTCGACGCCGACGCTTTGGCGCATGCGTTGACGGATGACCCTTTCGCACACCTTAGCCGCAAGAGCGGCAAGCTGCGGGCCTCTGGGAGGGTATATTCACCGCCGCCGTTCACAGTGCAGATCCCTCACTGGTCAGGTTCGTCGCTCAGCGGCGTTAGAGGGAGGGAGTCCAGTGCGGGTAAGGTGGGGTCCGACAGACGCAGCGACGGCGGCAGAGATAGTGCAGGATCGATGCCTCCACCGCCCGCACGGACTCCGGAGGGCAGGGTCGACACCGGGGACCGGATGGTGGCACCCGGAGTTGCACGCAATGGTGGTTCCCCGCTGCCAGTCCGAGGAGGTGTGGGTGGCGGATGGTCAGCTGTTCGTCGGGTCGGGGACCGGTTGCGGGCGGATTACAACGCCGGGAGGGGCGTCTTCACGGGATGTGCGCCTGTTCAGACACAGCCTGCGGAGGGCGGGTCCGGACGTCCGAGCCTGCAGATGGCAGGCCGCATGCTTGGTTTGTCACGAGCGAAGACGAGGAGGACAATGGTTCTCGAGGCCCCAGGGACATCCACGGACAGGCTGCGGGGAGAGCAGTTCACATCGGGCGAGGAGGGGTTGTTGATGCGTCCCGGGACGAGACGACAGCATGGCCTCTCAGAGGTTGAGGCTCGACTCGCTGCAGGGGTCGCCGCTGGGCAGGCAGCATTGGACGCGATTCAGAGGGAGAGAGAGAGGGGGATTGCTGCACAAGCGGAGGAGGACGAGGACGCTGACACTGAGTCCGAGCCGATCGAGACTGCGGCCCGCAGACACAGGGCACAGGTGGCCGCGGCGGCCGCTGCAGCAAAGGCGACATATGTCAGTGGAGCACGGGGCACAGGTGCCGGAGGGAGAGGAGGGCGCCGGGGAGGATCGCATGGCCGCCACTCTTCCGGGAGAGGCCACGCGCGCTCTGGTGGGAGATGACGACGTCCGTGGTGTTTTTTTTTTTTCATTAGTTTTTTTTATTTTCGCGTGGCTGTACAGCCTGGACGCTCTGTCGGCAGGGTTGTAGCATATTTATGTCGATGTTGTTCCATGGAGACGACGATAGTATATGGACATTAGGTTTTTTTTTTTTTTTTTTTTGCTACTCGGTTATACAGTAGAGACGACGCCCGTCGACGGGTCCAGTTTTTTTTTGGTACTCTGTTGTGTAGCAGAGTCGATGGGTCTAGTTTTTTTTTGCTACTCGGTTGCAGAGTAGAGACTACGGGTCCAGTTTTTGGCTTCAGCCTTGTACATACGCATTTCCATTGAAATGCTTCGTCATATATTTGCTTTTGTTATTGTTCCTCCGCCAACATTGGTCTTGCATCTGAGTCGTTGTTGTTTGGTGATTGTTTTTTGCTCTGTTGTCGTGAATGTTGCAAATTATGTGCTTCTCCGATGCCACTCACCTGCATGTCATGGATGCCTCCATTATGAATGTGCTGTTAATTTCAGATGCGACATAGGGATGATGTGCTAATGAATGTGTTCTTACATAAATGATGTGCAAATGAATGTCCATCAGTCTCATGAGTGAACACACACTATGACACACTTGCCTGTTATCATTGTTTGAAACTTGTGGTTCGCCGCACTGTGATTGATTTCCAATGTGTTTTGACATCGGTATGCCAAACAGGGTCTGACTTATGATTGCCATGAATGTGTTGTTTTAAAATAAGCGACGAACTGTCATCGCCCTCCGTAATGAAACCGACGCCTACCTTTCCGTGCGTGAGGCCCTGATCCGCCTGGGGTCTGCCATCTGCAGCCCCGTCTAGCTTCGACCCGGCCTGGCCGCACGGCCCGCCACATACAAGCCCTCATCCAACCCACGTTGGGCCGCCCCCGCAGGGGTCAAATATATATTTTTTTCTTTTTTCACTGTTCCAGACCCTCCTCCCTGCGACCCCGCATCGACGTACCTGCACACGGGGGCCGCTGGATTTTTCGCGGGCCACCCTTCCAGGGTCTTGTGCAGGACCCCCCCATTATTTTTTTTTTTTACGACCTGTCACTTTGAGGGGGTGCCCCCCCACCCCCCCACCCCAAACCCGCACCCCACTCCGAAAACTGGCCCCAGATCGGCCAACACCGCGGCCGAAAAAACTCGGTCGGGCCGGCCGCGGCCGGGGGGGTCCCGGCCTAGGCTGCCGGCCGCGGCCAGCGTGCAACATAGGTCCCATCCTCTCTGGGGGGGGATGCCCGAGAAGCTTCTTGCTGCTGGTTAGGTGTATGGCATGCTGGGGGCCTAGTCCCCATTTGCTTTTTCTTTGCCCCCTTGCGACTCTGACCCTTCTATGGTTGCCAGGTCCGTTGCGAGGCAGAACTCAGTCTTGCTGTCCGGTGGGACTCGTTGGATCCTGTGTCACTGTGGCTCTGCCGGTTCTGTTCTGCCTCTCTCTCGTTCTGCACTCTATCCTTGCCCTTATTCGTCCGCCTCACCAGGGGGGGCTCCTCTTCCTCTTCCTCTTGTTCCTCCTCCCCCTCCTGCACGCTTATCTGGCCGTTTTTCTGGTCGGGGTCAGTTTGTGTTCCGTCTGTCCCTTGCGTGTGTTTGGGCCGCTCTGTCGGGGTCTTTTGATGTGTGGCAGGCGAGTCTTGGGCCGGGTGTCGGTGAGCTGCACCGTCAAGCGTCCGACTTTGCTGTGGTTGTCCCAGCACTTGAGTCGAGGTTCGTGGTGTGGATGTCGGCCGACCTTGTCCTTTCCAGGTCTAGTATCCAAGCGAGTCCTTCCCCTGGACAAGAAAAGACCATCCTTTAACCCCTCATCATTTGGTAGCCACGTTTCGGCTTCCGTGGGGTGGGGGGACACCAATCCATTGACAGGTTTTTTCCTGGACTTTGGACAGCGATGGTTCGTACAAAGATGGCCTTTTCCTTTGCATGCGTAGCACCAGGGGTTTTGGCCTACTAATCTCCCGCGAAGGCGGCCGTGGGCAGCCAAGTCCGCGGCCGCGGCCAGGTCCGCGACCCCGTGGACGAGGCCGGGCGGCCGCGCGACTTTGCGGCCACATGGCGGCCAATCGGGAGGGGGGGTGGGGGTTTGGGAAGTGGCATGGGGTGGCGCAACCCCA